AAATTGTGTTGTTATCTTTAAACACATTCTCTAATTATTTTCTTTTTATTTCTGCATTAAAATTTTTATTTCCAGTGGTGTGAAATAGACACTTCATCTTGCCTGTTGTCTTGATGACACACGCTCCACTGGCGATGGCTTTTCATAGCTGTTACTAGCGTTGCGGCGATACAATTTTTTGGCCCTGATATTGATACCCGATACCTGGCTGTGCAGTATCGGCCGATACCATACCGATATCATCTGTTTGAAATTGATGTGTGTGTGTATACAACTGCATACTACCTGGATGTAAAATAATTGCCATCATTACTTTGTCTACCTTTGTGAAGCAGGAAAAAGACAAATAAAAAGTGAATCCAGTAGAAATGTTGATTGCCTTCCTGGAATGGGTGACAATAGTTGAATAAACTTTTGGCTCTCAAAATGGTATCGGTGCCCTATTTCTTGGCACTTGCCGATACCAATACCACAATTTTAGTGCTGGATCAGCCCCCCCCCCCCCCCCCCCCCACCCCCCCCTCAACCCCCCCACCCCGTACTGGTATCAGTATCGGTGCAATACTAGCTGTTACACACGAGCATGACTCTGAGTGAACCTACTCAGAGTTAAATAGATTTAGAGTTGAGGATTTAAATCTGAGTTTTTTAAAACTGCTTTTTGAAATGGAATGCTTGATGTCCCGATTGCTGGGATTGGTGCACAAAATATGCCTAGTTTAAACACAAACTTTGCAAATTTTAAATTTCAAAAATTTAATTTAGACTACTGAGGGATTCATTTATATCTTCAACTAACATATTTCGCAGTAAATTGTTCATTCTTCTCTCCGAAAGAGATGTTTTTTTTGCTCTGCTGGCTTGTTCCTGGTTTTACCATGGGCCTCTATAGTTATCTTAGTCTAAATTCCATAATCTGTTAATTTGTCCATTGATTACAAATTGGCTTTTTTTGTTGTTGTTGTTTTTTTTGTTTGTTATATTGTTTGTTTGTTTTTTTGTTTCATTTATCAACCAATCAAAGCACTTAGAAAACAGCCTCTCACCGAGCAAAAGAGTCATCCAAGCATAATATGATATTTTCTGTCTCCTCACTCAAAGTTGCTTTAAGCAGCTATCTGAATCCCTCTTGAGCTATAATTCCTTGGCAGTAATTTTTTAGAGCCTAGATAGATGCTCTCTTAGATAATTTTGAGAAGCTTAGTATATGCTGCCCACAACAATATGAATTGTTTCACATTAAATGTTAAATACATTTCCTGTACAATTTATGTGATTTTATCATTTTAAATCACTTTCAAATTTATGCAATGCCGATATACAACAAGGCACTTTACAGAGTAAAGTAATGCAAATCAAACAGACAGATTGGTTAAAATTGAGCTGATTGCATTGATTTGTTGACTTCACAGTTGAATTTATGTTTGTAGAGATACACACTAAAATGTTGACAGGGTAAGGTTAAAAGTTTTGGTAAAACTATTAGGTGAAAATCTACATGTCACAGTTCCTACTTTATATTAGTCTATCATAAGATACCAGTGAGACACAGCTTGGTTGTGGTTAGAATGTGTGCATTGTGGGTAAAAATACTTTAATTCAGGAAACTCTCTTTCAAACAAACACACGTTTACCTGCCTTGTATTGTGCAGAGAGATTAATTAACATATAGTAGCTTTGCATATAAATACTTTATCAGGTGCTTTGTTAAAAAAAAGATTAAAATTTCATAATTTGAGACTAAATTTTTACTTTTTAGCTGCACTTTATCTGAAAAATGGTAGTTTTAATTCCAGCCTTGAGTTTATTTTGACTCAAATCTCTACTCACATTTTCCCAGTCATCATAAGAAAAAAAGGTTCAGTTGGCTGTTCACATCTAAGTCTACACAATTTCAAATGGATTTAGGACAGCTATGCAAGGACGTTCACTCTTATCTCTCCTCAGTGATCCCAAAGCTTGGTATCACTGTCACGTTGTAAAGCAAACACTTTTCTCAGGCTTTCTTGCATAATGCAGTAGAGTTTCCCCACGTGTTTTTACCCTGCATATGTGAATCTTGCAACCTTTGTACAAATAAGTAAAAACCCTTGAAATTTTTTATTTTTTTTTAGGGTGAATATATATATTATTATTTATTTAGCTACCTTTATAAGAAGTAAATGTATTCCCTGGTAAAAATAAATCCTGTTTTATAACATTTCTCATATGTGAGGATTGGGCTAGAGGGGTATTGTTAAAGCTCTCTAAAATAGTACATAAAGTCTCTCATCTCTTCAGTTCAACCTCAAGTCTACTGGATTTAGTTCTGGGGACTTAGGTGATTATGTTAGAAAGTTGTCTGTGCAAATTCTTACTCATCAAAATCGTGCCAAACAACAAACTTGCTTAAATCGGAGGCAATGGCACTAGAGCACCCTGAGGTGGGAGCACTGATTTTTTTAAGCACCTAGAGGCCCAGCTCAGATGTGAATCAATGACCCACCTGTCGTTTTGGGTCAGTGGAGTCTGTTATTTTGTATGTTTTGTGTTCGGCAATTTGCATAATCTTAACTCAGAAAAACTGAGGAAGTCAGCTTGCATCCATATTAAGTCTGTTTTGTGGATGAAAGTTAATGATGTTTCTGAAGAGCCATGTCTGTGTTGATTTAGATTGTTGCTCTGCTAAATGACTCAACGATTATCCATTTTTGGTTTTCTTCTAAAAGTCATGATCCCTTACAGCCTAATAAGGCTTCTATGGCCTTTGTAAGAGATACAGTAAGAGCCCAAAGCATTACACACCATTTATACTTTACATTTGTTGTCAGGCACTTCTTTATATATTTAGATTTTTTTCCCCACACCAAACCCACCTTGAGTTGATGATACCTAGCCTGATAAACCAGAGTAAATGTGAGATTAAATGTGTGATTTAGTTTGGCCCAGCTGAATGAGACATCGGAAGATTGTTGATGAGAACAAACCGTTGTCTTTCCAACCATGTCTGTGCCTTTTGGCCAAAGCTCTGACCAATGAGCGCAACTGACTGTGACGTAGTAAGCGTGACAGAAAGCTGGTGGGGGAGTGTGAATTAACAGCCTGTCAGTAAAACGGCGAATACATCCTTCCCAAAAATGAATAAAGTAGAGCCTCTTCCTGCTCACGTTTCAACGAAAACCCAAAGTCTAATCCTTCCAAAACTGATTCCAGAGCTGAGTGGAAGGTGAACTGTTCAATACTTGTTGCCACCCTCCTTGTTGTGCTTTCTCCAGCGTAGTGCAGCATTGTCTTCACGCCCTCAAAACCCCACACACTTTGCATCCAAAAATTCAAAACCCCTCTCTGCTTTGTGATTGGCCCGCCAGTTCTAGGGCCTGTGGCATTGATCGAGGCTAGAGCACTCGCAAGAAAAATAGATTTTGGCAACTGGCGGTTGGGGCTAGTTTGCCAGGCTAGATGATACCTAAAATTTCAGTATTTATCTCATCTTTCAAAAGAACCAGTCAAAGACCCGAAAAAAAGAACCAGTCATAGTCCCGAACAAAATTACTTACCAATATTTACAGATTGGTATGTGTAAAGTTGTTTTAATGTTGTAGTGTCATGATGACTCTCTTTGCTTTAGTCTCTGGTCATCTTCCTTACTGTGAGCCTTAGACTTATGAAGATCAGCACACATCTGTCCTAAATTACTGACATGTTCTTTTTGTAAATACTTTTTAATTGATTTAAAGTGTAGGTAATGAGAAAAATGTGTCTATGTCCCATGACACTGATGAATAATTAAAAATAAACACAGTGATCAGCTCAATATATTAAAGTTTAAATTTGATTTGATTTAATTAGAAACCGTTTAGCTCCTGTCTTGATACAGGACCTGTCTTGTGTCATCTCAATTTTCATTAAAAATACTATTTTATAACATTACGCATACACCCATCCATCAACCCATCAAAGGCTGAAATAAACTAATTAATTAAAATAATAAATACAAATAAAATACAAAATGACATTTGCAGTTGTTTAAATATTACCGTTATCATCAGCAACAAGACCATTGTTTTTGCAGATTTTCTTAAAATTAGTGGATATTCTTCAGTAATCAAATCCTTGTATAATGTTTATCCTGCCTTTATGTATAGAACTCCAACAATCAATTATTCACTGCTAAATTACATAAAGAGGTTCCTTTATTATTACCTCGCCAAAATACTAATTTATATCAGAAATCTATGCAACTGTCATTTTTTTTCTTTTGTCACCATTTTATCTGAAACCTAAGGAAATCAAACAAAATAATTTACAATTTCAAAAAGGATATAAGATACATTGAACTTATAGTTACAGTCCTAAACATACTTTACAGAATCTAAGAATCTAAGGCGGTGATATGATTAGACTGTTGAGAATTTATTATTGTTTATGGAGAAGAAACTTCTTTTAATTGTAAATATGGAGTAAATGTTTATACCTTGATTTCATTGCAATTATTCAGGGTGATGTTTATCAAAAAGCATTTCTTAATATTTTCACCACCAAATATGTAGTCAAATTTCAGAGTCTGTCTTTCTTTATTATTTTAGATATTTTATTGGTTCGATAAAATATAACTTTATTTTAATCCTTTTATTCCTTTTATTATTTGTTAAACTTATTCTGAATGTCTAACTATAAAGCTAAATTTATAAAAACAAAAGGTTTTTTTTTTTGGACTTAATTATATTCACCCCAGTGCTGCTCTTGGCAGCTGGTTGACCCACTTTTATCCAGCTCTTAAGAAATCACACAGCACACGGGTTTTCCATCTTCTTTCCATATCACTGCTTTTTCTTTTTTTTTTTTGCAGAATGCATGGATGTTTCCACTTTCCCCGGAAACTGATTTGTATTTTTTAAGCCTATTTAGGACTGGGAAGCTTTAACATTTCCGCCTAATCCGCCTCAGACTTACAAAGTGTGAACTGTCACCATATATGTTTACAGCAGAAATAGTCATTGTCTTCTATTTTTTCTTTGCAGGTCGAGGAAGCAAGCTCTCCCGGTTGTAGGTTTTAGATTTCATCATCACCTGTGAGAGGCAGAAGAGGAAACCTGTGAGGGATGAGGGTGGGGGACTGTAAGTTGTACTTTGAAGATGCCAAGTCGTGTTTTGATGCTCAGCTCTGCGGCATGAACCAAATGTGATGTGTTCTTTAAGGAAAAATTATCCCAGACCCTGTTTTAACATCAGAGTTAAGCTGCTTTTATCACACGGCAAGGAGGGAACAGGAAGATTTATAAATAATTATTGATGCTTTTATGAACTGTGCTTGCGCTCTAATTCTACAAACTTTTCTTTAAATGTTTTTATTTCTTAAAAATGAAATAAATAACTTAAGGACAATCTCTTGCCGCAAAGTGGTGTTAAGAAAATAAACGAAACACCACTACCGTCTGATTTTGGATTTGGACTCTTACATACGCCAATAGCTGTGTGCATAACATTATCCAGCTTTATCCATTTATCACAAAAATGTCCCTGTGGGGCTGTTCCATCTTGTATCTCCACTCCTGCCAAGTTTCAGAAGCAGCGAGGGCTTCCTGTGGTGGAGTGAGCCAACCCTGGCAGCAACCTCCTGACAGGGAAGCAGGGCCATGTCTCCTCCCTGCTCAGCACTGTGCATCCTAACATGGACTGCTGCTGTTCTCCTGCACCATCTCTTTCATTCGGCACTGTTTTATAGCATTCCATTCAAAGGAGAGAGAGCAAGGCAGGAGTTTTCAAAAGGATGGAGGGGTTTTTTTTTCTGTTTTTTTTTTTCACTTTTTCGAACCACAAATTTTAATGTATGTTATTGGGATTTCATTTACTAAAACACAAAGCACTGCTATATTGTATAAAGGAAATGCTAATCTCATAACCCATAAATAAAAATAAGTACATAAGTAAATAAAAAAATAAAAAAGTATATCTTACAGAGCATTGTTCAGCTCATCATCTGAAAAGGAGTATGACACAACTGACATGCTACAAAGGTTGACAAACACATTGGAGTCTCAGGTGGACAGAATGGCTATTAAGTGTTCTATCCACAAAACTGTCTGTTTTTAGAGTGGGTTTTCTTCATCATGGAAGGCAAACCAGATAAAAATTGATAGGAAAATGGAGGTAGCTTAATGGAGCATATTCCTGGAAGAAAATCTGTAAGAGTTTGGCTACATTAGAATAGTTTACTTCAGAGAACAGAGGTTCTCCATCCAAAGGGGTAAAGCCTGACATTTGATTAAAATATTACTACATAAAGGTAGTTATGCAAAGTATTGACTTAGGGAGGCCATAAAAAACATTTATTTATTTTGGAAAATATCAAAAATAATTTATCTTCAAATTTGCTTTTGGTAAAAATTTCATGATGGTTTAACAAATACAGTCCAAGTAAGACACATTTGGATGTAATCTGACAAAAAAAAAGGTATACACAAGAATGCCAAACATACTCAAATATTTGAAATCACCTATTTTGTATATTTAGAATTTCTCTGATTAAAATCAGACTTTATTTTCCCTGAGTGGTTTCCTTGCAATTTAATTTTAGGATTGAAAAAGTGAAGAGAACACAGGGTTTGGAAATCATGCAAATAAATGTTTTAAATGAATTTGGTCCAGAATCCTACTGATTCAAATGCTTTTATGCAGTAAAGTCATAAATGCATCCATTAAGATCCAATGTAGTAAACACAGTCAAATTCAATTAATCATAGGTTGCCAATTAGTAAAAAATCTTTGCAGATTGCAGGGACTTTTAGCAGTTCCTCATTCTAACCAACAATGAGGAAACAACTCAAAGTCTGAACGTCTTTTCCAATTATTTTCCTTTTAAAGAGTTAACATCGACAACATCATCATCATAAGGTTAATATTACAAGTTAAAAACCAAAATCCCATAAAACTATTTTTAATTCTGTTGTTAGACCTTAAGATTGTTCATTAAGATTGACAATTGCTTGTTCCAGTGAGTTTGTCTTGTATCAAAGTTGCATAAAACTTACACATACACATCTTTCTAGTCATTGCAGGTATATTTGCTGGTCTTATTTTGCCAGTGAGATAAAAAACCATTGAAAGTTTCAGAAGTGTATTTCAAAAGGAAAACTCGCTCTTTGTAAAGAGTCATTAGACAATGCATTAGATTTGTCTTATGGGGTAGGGTTTACAGCAAATAAACATCCACAACTTAGTTTTTTATTATTATTATTATATTTAATTCTTCATAAAAATAAGACACAGTAATGTCCCCCTGATGGGCTTTATGTCCATGTGCTCAACAGTACAGATAGAGGTGCAACAGAAAAAAATTCAATACCTAATACCGGCATGCAGGACAAACACCAGCCTGAGCCTAGGCTTCACTTCAAAATCTTCCTAAGGCTGTTTTATCCCCCTTTACTGACAATTTGTATCTCTTACACATGAAATCTTCAGTTTCTTTCAAAATTAAGTTTTGTGGCTCATCCTTCTAGGAGGGTGTACATAGATTTTTTTTTTTTTTTTATTTAGTCAGATGGACATAAAAAAATTCTCTGAACCTTATTTTTGGGTCATTCATTAGCTGCAATACAGTTGTAAAAATACATGCTTACTTAGCATGTGTCAGACTATGTATTGTGAATGAATAAGAAACCCAATTTTCACATTTTGAAATAAATCAATAAAAGAATCTACATTTTTGGATGACATTTTAATATATTCTGAACTAGCCTTACTTTTTAAATCTGGATAAATGACTTTTTAAAAACGAAGACTGGCTGATTTTGCTCATTAACATATACGCACCCCCAGTCCTAAGTGGTGCTGCCAAAAAATGCCTAAAATATAACAGACTGCCTTGAACTATTCAAAGTCAGTGTCTGGTTAATAATGATAAAAGTGCAATGTTCTGCACTATTTTTGTATCCAAAACAAGTTCAAAGAGAATAAACATTTGGTTCGTAAACCTTTTTTCTATTCATCTATGTTTTATCATCAAACAGTGGTGGTGTGTCATATCTTTGGCATATAAAAATAATAAAACCCCCCAGAAAATAACACAGGATAATTGCGTCATATGTCAGTTATCTGAATCACTTTGGAAAATTTCTGGCTCAACATGTTCATATTTGCTGTAATTAATCTGTTGTTAATCATTATTTCAACTGCTGACATCTTAAAGCGAAGTCACACTGTCCTGACAGTTTGTTGAAAACTGGTTTGCACCAGTATTGTGGGACCTGTAGAGATGTGTAAGTGACAACTGTTGTATAGAAATGTACATTTTTTTGTAAAGATATTTTTATCAAATGGCATGTTTCCTGTAACTTTGTATTTTCAGTTTTCATGTACAAAAAAAAGAGGAAGGCGTATTCTAACTGTTGTAAGGCTGCTGGAGTCAATGTCATTGTAGATAACTTTGTGTTCTTATTGGTGAATAAAAATATTGTGTCCTGTATTTAACTATCTATTTTCATGTGGATGTTTTTTTTTTATTTTTTTTTTCAGACTTCCTAGACATTGGATAAAATCAAACTCAAAACTTTTCTGGATTTTCAAATTCAAGGACCACATGTAGCAACATTTACCTACTGCCATCACCGAATTTTTTACAAATAAATGTTTTAAATTCAAGGCACAATTCAATAAAAAAAAACTGCATGACAGCTGGATTACACTCAATTAAAAATGTTGATGGAAAGCACCATCTACGTTCATATCCATTATATTCATAGCCTACATTCATATACAAAATATTTAGACACATCTAATTATGGTGAGTTGAAGCTTGTTTGAAGCTTCAAAGCTCTTTAACAGCTGTGTTGCAACATGGTTCTTTTCCCAAAGCCTCAGTCAACTGCTCACTGTGGAAAACTACGGGGTGCAAAACCTTTAAGATAGAAAGCTGTGCCCACCCTGGACTGGAAAGGCTTTGTTTTATCTCTTTTTTTTTTTTTTTTTTATGTGGCTAATTTTCTATTATTCCTATTTTTGATTTGTTAATCATACAATTCTACCAATCCAATCAACAAATCAAGGTGGATGCTGGTGGACTACAGAAAGAGAGGGTGGGTTAGTGAAGCAGCTATGGTCACTGTGGCCATTTATTTCTGTTATAAACTCTTAAGATTTGAGGTTAGTGAACATGCATGCTTGGAGGATTAGCTGAAACAGTGAAGAAAAATACGGAGCAGAATCGGGTATTGTTGCTCAGCCTACTTTGTTTGGAACATTGTTCTCTCTGGGTAAATCAAGACCCTTTTTTTGTTTATGTCACATTAATGGCATTTTGTGAGAGATATACACTCAAAACACACATAAAATACTCCAATATTGGTTACAACACTTCTAGAAATATATGAAAAAATAGAATTCTTAGAGGAGGTCTAAAAATGTAAAACAAGAACATATGGTAATGGTTGTAGCATTTAATATTTACATAAAGTGAAACCTGTGCTAAAATAGTCTATGAAATTGGCTGGAGGTTTAGTGGATTTTCTGCAGAGATGTTTAGTGTCTGCCAGCATGTGGATGATTGCCTTTGCAGCTTTGGGATTGAGTCTATTTGTTTCTGATGCAATATTCCTGAATTGTTTTCCTGATGGAGGATAGAAAAACAATGCATTGCCCAGGTGGTGCTGCTGTAGTTACCTCTTGTAGTAGGAGTGTTTACTCCATTCACAGTGCCTGACATCAGTGCTTGAGTTTAAAAATGGGTATATTTTTGTCCATGTTTAACTTTTAAGTTAATTAAAGGAATACATAATTTTTTTTATTTTTTTTATTGTTTTTTTAGATTTGGGGGATTTTATTGATAAGTTTTATTCTCTCTGAACTGTACTAGCGGTCACAGAGCCATTATTAAGCATGAACCAAAAATATGGTTTGTTGATAAAGGATGCCCCGATAAAAAAAAATGATGTCCCTCTGATTAATTTGTTTCTAACACCAGGTTTCCTGATATGTATATAATGATGACCATTTATAAAAGTACATCACGACTCAGGGTGTTAACAGCACCCTGACTCTGGTAGATAGGTAAAATGAGACCCAGTTACAAAGTCACTTTAGGCTGGTACATCTTTTCTTCTAACTCTAAAACAATTGGAAACTTCCTCATCCTGACACTTTTCTTATTAAAAGAATACACAAGTTATTGCAGTTTAGAATGAATAACAACATAAAATAAGAAAACTACCACAAAATACTAACCATGAACTCTCCCATTGACAAAAAAAAAACATGGATTCACTCATGGGACCTGTTGTCAAAATCAACCCCTATTTTGAAAAACTGCCTATGTAAACCTAGCTTTAAACGCCACACCTCGATATTGCAACACAATGGACAGGGGGCTTCAACTGGAAGTATCTGACATACCAGACACAAAACCCTCAACACTAACTGAACATTTGTAGATAGATCCATGTTACATGCATTAAGGACATTATAAACAAAATTGTTGTTTTATGCAATTTTTGGTGAAATAACACATGTTTAGTATGATATCAGTTCATTTTACTAATGCTAGTTTTAGACTTGGATGCACAGTGAAACAGTTGGTAGCACTGCTGCCTTTGTCATGATTTTATCAAGAGACCCACATGCAGAGAAACCAGTTCAGAGATACCAGGGGAAAAGTTTAACAGATTTATTGAAGAGATAATGCAGAATCAAGTGTTGCTCTGAACACTGCTCAACCGGAACTGAAAATGAGGCGAATGCACAGTGGTTAGTTCAGGCTCAGTAGGAAATTTGAATCTTGAACTTGAAGAGGAGAAATTGGTTGCTGACTCACATTTCCAGAGAAGAATAATTCTTTTACTCCAGTCTGTGTGCGGTAGTTCCAGTGTTTGTCAGATTCGGTGGAGGGCGGACAGGGTTTACCCAGAATGCGGTTGTTTGTAGGTTTAAAGGAGAAGCTGACTGCCACTCAGATTTCCTGCGGTACTTGAACGGGTCGTAGTGGAGATGAATCCCTTGCTCAGTGTGAAGCTCAAACGATTTCTTGAGGAAAAGTAGATTCAAACCTCCAGTTTCAATCCTCTGCTCAGTTTGAAGCTCAGATGATCCTTCCAGGGAGAGAAGGTCCGAAACATCCGGTTTGCAGGATGACTTCCTGTCGAGAGGCAAAGACAAAAAAACAAGATTAAGACTCGGGTTGACAAGAACTCAGTTTGACTCAGCAAAACTCAGCTTGGCAAGAGTACCCAAAACTGGCAAATACTCTGGCGTCGAGGTAGTGGCAGTCAGCAGCTTAAGAGCGCTCCGTAACGAGGTAACCCTCTGCAGGTGCGTGAAGAGGCAGACCAGAACCAGGCGCCTCCTGGTGGAGGAAGGGAGACAAACACAGAAACAAAAAAACACACACAGAAATCCTGACAGCCTTGCAGCAAGTAGGTTCTGGGTTTGATTCCTTGCCCTTGGTCCTGCTTCATGGCTTTTGAATGTTCTCCCTGTGGATGCGTAGTTTCTCAAAATTGCCTTCAGGTATGAATATGTGTGTGCATGGTTATGTGTCTTTCCATGTCTGTGTGTTGCCCTGTGACAGACTGCTGTGTGTACCTCATATCTTGCCTATTGACTTAGACTGAGCTGCAGTGTCGGGCTAATGGCAAAGCTAAGAAAGAATCCCCACAGACCACCGCTACCATCAGTCCTGCTCTCCAACATTCGCTCATAGGATAACAAAATGGATCATCTCTGACTCGAACTCCCTTCAAAAAGGGAGATAAGTAACTGCTGCGCATCATTCTGA